AGCACGTGCACTCAACTTCTTTGGTCGACCATGGCGAGGCCTGTTCTGAGTGGAACCTGTCCTGTTAAACCGCTGTATGGTCTTGGCCACCGTGCTGCAGCTCAGTTTAAGAGTCTTGGCAATCTTCTTATAGCCTAGGCCATCTTTATGTAGAGCAACAATTCTTTTTTTCAGATCCCCAGAGAGTTCTTTGCCATGAGGTGCCATGTTGAACTTCCAGCACGGCAATCGGATATTCCCTGGATCAACAATCGCTGATGCCCAATATACCTGTAATAACTCAATAACCAGTAATATTCTGTGCATTTAAGAATACATCCAGATGTTTTTTAAAACAATTAACCGAGCTAACTAGAACTAGCTCCTGGGGGAGTCTATTCCACATTTTCACAGCTCTAACGAGTCACATGACACCGGGGAGGGAAAATGGCTAATTGGGCCCAATTTGGACATTTTCACTCAGGGGTGTACTCACTTTTGTTGCCAGCGGTTTAGACATTAATGGCTGTGTGTTATTTTGAGGGGACAGCAAATGTACACTGATATACAAGCTGTACACTCACTACTTTACATTGTAGAAAAGTGTAATTTCTTCAGTGTCGTCACATGAAATGATATAATAAAATATTTACAAACATGTGAGGGGTGTACTCACTTCTGTGAGATACTGTATATATTTACATATATACAGACCTGAGGCTTCCCAGATTCCATCAACTGTCCCTTACCTCTTCCAGCTAGGGTACAGTAATAAAAACCGGGAGCCTGACAGGTGGTCATGTGACTATCCACCCAACTTCCTGACTGGATGGCAAGCCGCAGCCACACTCCCTCGCAGCTTCCCAGGCACCAGGGACTGCGACTGTTAGATGAGGAATGTAAGTGGCCAGTGCTGCTGTGCTCTGTGTCACTGAGCTGGTCACAGAGCAATCTTGTGATCTCTCCGCTGGCTCATTGACTAAAAACACGGCGCCCTCTGTTGCAGTTTTGGTGTTGCATTTGGAGTGATTAGGGTGTGCCCAGGCACACGCTGTGAGCATGCTTATGTCTCTACACACTTTGATACACAACTTTGTATATCAATGATCCCCAAGAGGAGAGGATTGCCAAGGCAGATACATTCCATAAACAGATCGGTATCTACAAATCACCCTAAGGGCTAGTTCACACCATAGGCAGTTGTGATGCAGTCCGTTTATTTGACTGCTGCAATCAAAATACATCACAATGCTTTCCTATGGGCTTTCTTGTGCTTTATTCACATCATTGCTGGCTCTTAGCAATACATAAAATCTGAGCAATTCCTCTAAGGGCACAATAGAGGGGGCACCAGGGCTATGATTCAGCCATCACTTTTGATGGTTGGGATGAATTTAAAAGATTATCTGCTGAGCAGATTATCTGCTGATCTTAAACGGCTCAAAGATTTTCATGGGTGCTTCTCAGTTCAGTGTGGCAGTGTGGCAAGGAAGGAGAAAGATTGTTTTTGACTGGCAGCAGCTGATTTTCCTGTAGGTGAAAACCATGATGAAGGGTTTTTGTTGTAAATGTGTCACCCTCCACTAAATATTCATCTTTGGAACAGAATTGATCACACGTGTATTTTCTTCTTTGATCACTATAGTCCTCCCCACCTCTCTGAGAGAACCATTCATTCTGCTCTCCTAAGCCACAAACATGCATGCTTGGTTCATCTTTTGATGGTTAGATCATATTGGCATATCCAACGGTCTTCCAATGTCTATGGATTGCTTTAGACATATTGTGATTAAGTGGCTAAATGTAGAGAAGGTGTAAGTCTAACAAATGAAGGGAACATTTTAATTCTTCCTATCTGAAAATGTTAGTGGAATTAATTAGAAGAGTAAATATTAGGGATGCACTGATGCCGCTTTTTCGGTAACGAGTATGCGTACCGATATTTTTTGGGGTACTCGCCAATACCAAATACCGATACAGAGGGAATCTCCCTCTGACCGGAAGGTCCGGTATCGGGATAAGTATCGGAGCATTTGGGCGAGTACTCACCCAAATACTTGGTATCAGCACCGATACCAGTATCGGTGCATCCCTAGTAAATATAAATGCCAATATTGACACTAATGCTACTAACCTGGCTCCATTCATTTGTTTGTGGATCGTATGCTTCCACATTATTAAGGTAACTTTGTCCGTCATATCCACCAACAGCGTAAAGCTTGTCACCCAACAGGCAGACTCCTACTGCATCTCTGCTAATGCTCATGGAAGCCACTGAAGTCCACATGTCTGTTTTGGGATCATACCTATAAAATGAATCATATATTACTAATGCAAGTAGCACTAACATATCAACACAGAAGATGTAGCCCTGAATAACATTAATGTTTGCTGCTGGAGCAGTTCTTGTTTTTTTGCACACTGGCTATAATGCATTTTTTGTTTTGTAACAATGCACCTAAAACATTCTTTATTTTATGAAAGCAGAGGACCCATAAGATAAATACAAGGTAGTTGCAATTTTTATGTTGCATGATATTAGCGCAACTAATTGTCAAAACTATTTTCAATAAAAGAGAAGTTCAAATTAATTTTAGTGCACACAAACGCAATAATATCTCTACATTTTTTGTAAAATATGAGACAGTTGAGCAAATGGATACCAGATATGTTAAGACTCAAAACAGAGTAAGGCTGCAGCTAACGATTATCTTCATAAAATGATCAGGTAGCCGGTTATTTTTTCAATTTATCGGATAAAAATAAATACCGTCATTAAAAGTAAAAAAAAATACTTGGCGATACCTGACATGTGTAGCGTAATCGTCGGTTTTCTATGTAGGTGTATCCGACTTGTGTTTCCATTAGTATATGCGTGTTTGCAAGGTTGGGGGACTTTCAAATTTTTTTTTGGGG